TTTATTTTCCCAACATGATGTTTGAGTGCCTAGGGAGCTGATGTTATCTTGAGAAAAGCTGTGACTGGTTTGTGTAAGTGGATAAAGGTTTGCCGGGTGATCTGTACACAAATAGCCTAGGGCTGACAGGTTAGTGTAGGTGAGCTGTATTTGCGTCAGCGTACCTGTGATCAGTGTGGAGGGATGATGTCATCTATAGTAAAGTAACTTACCTTTATACATTAAACAGAAAAATTGAAGAGAAAATTAGCCTGTCTATTAAGGATGTTTGGTGAAAATCCTGATGTAAAGGTGTACAAAGGCTGACATTAGACATTTGTAAGAAGGTGTGACATCTAATCCCTGATGAACTATGATTCTTAGATTCACAAACTTAGAATGTACAATAATGTCACAATAAATAACAAATTTCTTACACGATACATGTTCATTATGCACTGCTTTGTATTTCCTTTACTTTCACTTTACCTTTACTTTACCTTTACTTTGATCAACACTGATATTACCTAATTACATTGAAGTGTGCTAGAGCTAAATATGAGTGGAACCTTGAGGCATCAGGTAAACCTACAAGAAGGGGTGGTGACCCCAAACCTTTTTATGTCTGGTCCAGGCAATCAAACCCAAGCCATTTTAGATAAAAGGCATGTGTATAATATGTAATGTACCAGCTATATACAGACACATCAATGGGTGGTTAAGTTCTCTGAGTAATCCTTTTAATCATATCCGACTTCTGAAGAAACAGACAAAATCATACCATTTTTTGTACGTAATGACACAAATTAGAGACCCAATTACAATATGTATCTAAAAGAGGTAATTACAACAACAAAGGACTATCAACGACAACTATTATACAAAATATGGCACATTATCGGTGACAAAGCGTACAGACATCATGTACATCCTTGTAAAGGTAACACAGCTGTCATAGTATCTGTAGACCCTGTGATATAATGACATCTCTGTAGACCCTGTGATATAATGACATCTCTGTAGACCCTGTGATATAATAACATCTCTGTAGACCCTGTGATATAATAACACCTCTGTAGACCCTGTGATATAATGACATCTCTGTAGACCCTGTGATATCATAACACCTCTGTAGACCCTGTGATATAATGACACTTTTGTAGACTCTGTGATATAATGACACCTCTGTAGACCCTGTGATATAATGACATATCTGTAGACCCTGTGATATAATGACACCTCTATAGACCCTGTGGTATAATGACATCTCTGTAGACCCTGTGATATAATGACACCCCTGTAGACCCTGTGATATAATGACACCCCTGTAGGCCCTGTGATATAATGATACCTCTGTAAACCCTGTGGTATAATGACATCTCTGTAGACCCTGTGATATAATGACACCTCTGTAGACCCAGTGATATAATGACATATCTGTAGACCCTGTGATATAATGACACTTCTGTAGACCCTGTGGTATGACACCTCTGTAGACCCTGTGATATAATGACATCTCTGTAGACCCTGTGATATAATGACATCTCTGTAGACCCAGTGATATAATGACACATCTGTAGACCCTGTGATATAATGACACCTCTGTAGACCCTGTGATATAATGACACCGCTGTAGACCCTGTGATATAATGACACCTCTGTAGACCTTGTGATATAATGACACCTCTGTAGACCCTGTGGTATAATGACACCTCTATAGACCCTGTGATATAATGACATATCTGTAGACCCTGTGGTATAATGACACCTCTGTAGACCCTATGATATAATGACACCTCTGTAGACCCTGTGACTAATCCCCTTGTATATGTTATAGTTACAATCATGTGTGGACTAGTCCCCTTGTATATTTTATAGTTACAATCATGTGTGGACTAGTCCCCTTGTATATGTTATAGTTACAATCATGTGTGCACTAATCCCCTTGTATATGTTATAGTTACAATCATGTGTGGACTAGTCCCCTTGTATATTTTATAGTTACAATCATGTGTGCACTAATCCCCTTGTATATGTTATAGTTACAATCATGTGTGGACTAATCCCCTTGTATATGTTATAGTTACAATCATGTGTGCACTAATCCCCTTGTATATTTTATAGTTACAATCATGTGTGCACTAATCCCCTTGTATATTTTATAGTTACAATTATGTGTGGACTAGTCCCCTTGTATATGTTATAGTTACAATCATGTGTGGACTAATCCCCTTGTATATTTTATAGTTACAATCATGTGTGGACTAATCCCCTTGTATATGTTATAGTTACAATCATGTGTGGACTAGTCCCCTTGTATATGTTATAGTTACAATCATGTGTGGACTAGTCCCCTTGTTTATTTTGTAGTTACAATCATGTGTGCACTAATCCCTTGTATATGATATGTTATAGTTACAATCATGTGTGACTTATCCCCTTGTATATTTTATAGTTACAATCACGTATGGACTTATCCTCTTGTATATTTTGTAGTTACGATCATGTGTGGACTAATCCACTTGCATGTTTAATTCTAATAAACTATGCTTGAAATAAACTTATTTGACATCTGAAAGTATAGATCATGATTTCAAATGAATTTGGATAATTCTTGTGTTTATGACAAACAGGAGACAAGACCTTTCCAGAGCTGCATATTTTAGAATAACGACCAAAAGATATATTTTTGCCACAACTTGTAAAGAAATAAATCCAATGTCGGGTTATACTGATAATTGACAAATCAGTAAAATTTGGGTCGCAGATGGTACTAATCTTCCTCTAGTAATGAAGTCCGTTAAAATATAAAGGACATTTTAATTGTTAATTTGAGAACTCTTTTTTTCCACACAATACAATACAACATCTGCTCTAACTTCATGCAGATTGGGTTTTGTACATGTAAGTCACATAAGTGTAATTAATGTTGACAAACCATGAAAAAAATCTATTTATTCCTGCTAACTAAAGATCACAATTCCTTCCAAAAAAGTTAAAGAGCCTCTTTAGATGTCTGCCAGTTATGTTTCCGTGTATTTAATGACTCTCTCATCATAACCAAGGTTAATTAAAATACCTGGTGGAGAGTTAAACGTCTTAAAGCCTGGATCCTTGAAGCTTATCCTAGATTAACATAGGAACACCTGGGAAGCCAGGTACGACCTATTCTACTAATCCAGGTGGTCCTACTTATACAGGTCAATAGGTAAAGAATGCCAGATTGTGTATCCTAAACCTGTACTCGTATGTTTGATCAACATGTATCTATTATACAATCTGATGATATCGTAGTATAACCAGAGACAGCATCAATATATACCTATCTCTAACATACCTGATCTTCACTTAACATCCCACCTGTGTGAGACTTATGTTATAATTAAGGGTCACATAATGTCCATTAATGACAGGGTCAGCATTGGGGGGACTGACCACTCCAGTCCATTGGTTATCACAGACACAATAGGGCCATACAGGTGAATAATATATCCTCCTCTACATTCTCTAAATAATGTAAGCTTTCTTTAATTCTCAAATGTATTAAATACAGAGATCTTTAAGTAGGATCAAGTGTGATGACCTTTATATCTGACCTTTAGATGGACAGTGACCAACCACTATTATTGATTTGTGAGGTGAACATTGTATAATAGCAATGACCTCTGGTTTTCTCATTTCCTTGTAGTATTACTGAGTGAGGCTATGAGGAGCTAACATTTCTCTCAACAATATCTCTGTTTAGTTACTAACACATATGATGATTAAATGTGATCGATGAAGTAAAAATGAGAGAGAAAATCTTTAAAATATCCAAATATTAACACAAGATAAAATGATTCTATGATCATAAGCAGTCAGTTTGTTTGTGTAATTAGGCTAATTGAATTTGGCAACCAACAATGTATCTTATAATTGATTGGACACATGTGGACATACATGCTAATTTCACATGTAAATCTCTCCCATGGAACAACAGCTCTGAGTACAACCGTGGACTTTGTAGTACAACATCAGCAGATGGTCTTTCCATTTTAGTACAAAGAGAAGCCTCTAAATTCTCTAGTCCTGAACAATATGACATTCAGAGGGTACTTCTCTAAACACATAGCTACCATACCACTCATCATTATTAGGACAAACCTCCCTTTATTGATAATCTATAGAGATTCTGTTCTGATCGTGCATGTGTAAGCAGAAAACACAGTAATACACAGGTTTCTATATTCACACAGACATTTACACACTTGATTCTCATACATCTGTTGTGAAAAGTTACTGAAATTTTTATTACAATAACATAAACCTTGTCATGTCGAAAGCTGAATGACTACGTCATTACTGTCAAGTAACAAGGAAACATAATTCAAGTGAGATGATAAACACTAGTACAATAAAAGTGCTACAAATACCTGTGGTTTTATAATTAGTTTGTTAGCATTCTTAGGGCCAATCTACAACTCAGCAACTATACAAATAGGATTCTTACCTGTATATACTGCTTTATACTTAAACCCTAATATTTAAATGTTAAATCAAAACACCACCCGTGATCACTGGTTCCAGTTAATTAAATAAAACCTTCCCATTCAATACACTTTCTATAATGTACAGTTGACTGGCTGTGTAGCATTGATTACTTTAACATCTATACACCAGTTGACTGAGCCATGTTTACGTTACTATTAAACAGTCTAGACCATATTTAACCTAATTCATATTACATCATCTGCCTGTAAAATTTACCAAACTCTCCACAGGTACTGGTAAGGTTGTAAAGGTAATGACAATCCATTCCTCACCTAGATCATACCTTCTACACATTACATAATCTGTCATTTGGAGTAAAGTACACCTCTCGGTCCCTGATATAATACACTTAATTACTTTTGTCAGTTTTTCTGATCACGCATTTCAAACAGACTTCAAATTTAATGTTTACATGAATGCAGATATATGAGAGTAGCTATATACTATATGATAAATGTGACATTCACATCCCCCACCGCTGAATGACTTACCTATAAACATGATAGCCAGGAAGAGGAAGCTGTTCCCAGCAGCATGGAGTGCCGCTAAAACAATGCCAGTCACTACACAACACACCCCCAATAATGACAGGATCACCAGTATCCATCGAAATGATGTAGATGCAGCTAAGCAGTTCATACAACTTGCCTTGCAAGGCTCTTCTGTTTGTGATCCACTTCGTGACCGACTCCGGCGCCTATCCCGCGAGGGTCGTCCACCACGGTGGTGTCTTGATTGATGCCGTCCCTGGCTCTGGTGGTAGGTATAGACCCGTGGGTCAACTCCTGGTGGGACATGGCCATGAGACTGTCCATGGTGACCCGAGGGTGCATGGTGGGAAGGTACAACATGGGAGTGTAAAATGTCGGGGAGGGCCTCACGATTGGCATCTACCCCTGAGATAATGCCTGTACTGAGGTCGTGTGTACTGATATGGGTGGAACCCATCACTGCGGTGGATGTGGTCAAAGAGGAGCTAGAAACAGGTGGGTACAGCCCCTGAGTAGGGCTGACCCTCTGGTGATTATGTCCACTCTGTTCTAATGCTTGCTGCATTTGGTGATCAATAATTGCACTGATTGACCTGCGATGTTCACTAACCACCCCTGGTGACTGTGGTGCTGCTCTTGGGCCTTGTACATCATTAGAAGTGGAATTACTAGGTCTATTGTCATTTGGATTTGATGCATTATTTGTGGATTCCATTGTGTTTCGTAAGTCTCTAAAACTTTCCGACGGTAAAAAACAATTATCACTATCAACAATATCAGGGTAATTCCCAGAATTCCTTCTACCACCGTGATGGGATTGAAAGTCAGAGGAAGAACTTGAATAAGCTCCAGAGGCTTGATTGGAGGAATGAGAACTTTCACCTCTCGATGCTGTGTTTGATTCTAATTTTGGGTGATACACATCCGGTCGTTTTTCCTGACTCATATTGATAATGCCAACAACTTCAGATATGACCACAATCAATTACCATGGTCAGTATATTTAATACAAACCATGATCCTTGAGAGGTAAATAAGCTGGTCTTCTGTACTCTAGCCAGGTTGTGTCACCAATATACTGCCCTGTCAATACATAAAGATTAATCCACATCAGATTATCATGACCCCATATATTAACCACTGAATACTAGAGCAAAACATGACTTAAAGTTAGGTGTAATAAATTTTGAAATGTAATAAATCATTTTGTTCTACACCTACAAATGTTACAGTTACAGTACATATATCTGTACCTGATATCTAGAACAGCATGTGTGATTTAGTGGTTACATGTAAACAGTAACAAAAGAAAGGAAACAGACCTCTTACCTCAATTGAAAGGGTCCTTGTATGTTGACCAATACCTAATTTCCTGATAAGGGTACTTTACACAGATCCCCTCCACAGTTAAATTGCTGATTATATACTCTTGACAGGCATGTCCGTTTTTATAGTAAACGTCTTTAGAGCAAACGTAAACAAAGGTGTTGGAGCTCTGGGTGGATGAAAGCTGTCTGCTGATGTTGTCTGCCTCTGACTGGTACATATCCTCCTGATAATAGTTGGTGATCTAAATTTGTCTGTACACAGTGGTCAACAGGAAGACACTCATTAGTTCTATAAGTCTGTACATAATGTTAACACCAAGCCATATGTGTCGGACTTATCACAGCATCAGAATAACACCTCAAGCTAGACTAACAGCTGATCCAATGTCTACAGTCACACTTCACTGACTAGCCCGCCATGGCTTCATTCACTTGTAAATAAAGCACATTTCAATGAAAATTGTTGTCCTGATTGGCTGTGTAAATCGTTGCTGCAGTCTGTCTCATTTATAACAGTCCTGTCAGACTGGCTTTAGGTATCTCAACACACCACTACCCATGGCCCTGCAAAACCACAATAACAACATTTAAAGCTGAAAACCTTTCCAGCACTCAGCCTTTGTCGCTTATTGTTGTAACAGTATAACATTGTAGTATTACAGGCTTTCTTTGTCAGCATTTTACCATGTGACAATTAGGTCTACATGTAGATACAAGACACAAATTTAGCTTGTCTGCTTAAGATTGTTTATTACAGCTTTCTTCTACATCAAAGTCTTCTAAAAAAACAAATTGTTTTAGCAATTAACTAGTGTCACATTAAATCATTCTATGGTTTCTATTTGTGTCTGTCTTAACTATTTCTCGTAAGATTAGTCTCATAAAAATAAATGACAACAAATAATATCTGGAACATAGAACTATCACATCTGTGTAAACATCAAATCATGTCTGGTGTAATGTCTAAAGATTATAATGATACATATGTAATAGAGTTATTTACAAAATTACACAGAACTCCACACTCATCTTTTCCTAGCAAGGAATATAGAAACACACTTGTAACAACCCTGTAACAGACAGATATAGATCTCAAATCACAAATTTTAACAGTGTTATAGCTGAACACAACGTCTTGTATGTAAAGTATACATGTCAAATTTAGGATTGTGATTTATCCTAGGCTTTGATATACCTACCTATGTATTAAGTTACCTATGTATTATTTCAATAGTTATGTTCAACGACCTTCTTTACTCTACTTTTATCTGTACATGAATCCTTTCTACTTCTATAAGTAGGCCATAATTTGTTAATAAAGAAATTGTATGCAGGGTAAAATTATTTTCTTTCTGGTAAATTCTTATATAGAAATTGATCCTGAGTCTACGACATGATAATCCATGGCTTTACATATATACTAACTGTTCAAAGAAGCATGCTCCATCAGCTGAGAGACACAAAGTATAATCACTAATACATTGTAAGATCAAACTACACAAAAATGCTTAAAAAGTGTCTTGAGATCATTCATACATTTTAGTAAAATAGATGAAAAACTGATAATTTGCTCAAAATGAATGATGAAGGAAATATGAAGTCTACAACTGTTGTCTGGTAACTGACTTGTTTACATTATAATATTAGTCTGAGATAGAATTATTAATTCAATACAAAAATACCTGTCATTAAATTAACACAGAATAATATCCAATCCTTACTTCCTTCACCATTAAACTAACAATAAAATTTGTATAAAAAAGGACACTGGGCCTATCATGTTGAAGCAATTTGCTTTGAGGCATGACTGCCACATGTGTCCAGATGTCATGGTCAACATAATAGATGAGATAGCTGATGGTGTTTTCTCCTTTATGACTGTGCAATCCATTATCACCATTACGTCAATGACAAATCAGACATACAAAGTCATACAAGTGTTTATCATGCATGAGGAAGTACAATCTATCAAACGAGGCTAGAGTCACGTCATCTAAGTAATAATGTTTCTCATTATTTTCTTAATTAACCATCCTCAGTAAAAAGTAGGTTTTCATTACCTAGATCTGATTACCTTGTCTATTTCCTTTGAGATGTGGTGTGTTACTAGTGTGTATGCATGTGTAGTGGGACTATAACAATAACCAGCTGCAGTGCAACTCCTTTGATACTTTTTAATTGTATAGTCCTCACTCTGTTGCCTTCTCCCTCTTACACATGGATGATAAGATGTTAATTATGCATACCAAGGTAAAATATAGGTATAAGAATCAGTGACAAAATAATGTTTTAACGATGGATTACTGACATGTTAACAAGCCGGCAGTTTAAAATGTTGTATTTACTCAATTATTCATATACTTGTACATACATACTGATAGTGAGAACTTAATCATGGTCTTAAGCAAGAACTAAATCACGGTCTATCAGGTAGCACACTCATAGTCCTAACTTTGGCGTCAAAAATAAACAAAGGCCATAACTCTATATAACCTATTTCAGACATGGAACATACAGCTGGAAATAACACACAAATGTTACACTCTATTGATGTCATATACAAAATATGCCTCTGCTACAGTGACAAACTGAAGATAAAAACTTATAGATAATATGATATATCAATATCAAAGATCAGATTCTGGCATGCAACACCCAGCCATCCTCATATAACTATATCATATATTCACATACAAATTCTGGTTTTCATACTTCATAGGTACCAACACTTAGATTTGATTTAGTTACCGAAAGACAAAAATAATTTAACCAGTTGAAGAATAATGAATTCCGTTTTCAATTAATTCATTTAAAATGTTAAGAAGCAAACTTGAAAAAATAAAACCTATGATAATTCTATGGATCTACTACAGGTGAGATGCAACAAAGTCAAATTGCAAGCTTTTTAATAAATACATGGATCTGTTCTACAATGACTGCTGTATTCAAAAGTTCAACAGGCCAGAAAACATTTCTATACCTGCATCTGAATAATGAATTAAGAGTAACTGGTCATGACACTAACATTTAGCAGTAAGAATTTCCAAAAAGTGGCTATATGAGATAAACTGTGAAAAATCTGCAGCAACATTACTATATAAACTGAGAGGTTGACACATATACTAGTTTCAGTGAATTTTCCTTTAGCCATTAGGCATACTGATAGCTTTAGTTTGCTAGTTCAACTTTTCCCTTGATCACTACTATTCAGTATTTAGTGATTAACAATTCTACTTATTTACTTGATGAACTGATAAATGAAACAGTGGTTGAGGTAAATTTTCCAAGATGTAACTTTATTCTGACATTTTATAAAGGGACATGATATCTCTCATGAAGTATTCCTAAACGATTAAATCAAACAATCTGGTCGGTAGAAATTGTCATGTTAAGTTATTTAAGCCCTAAGTGATGTACGATACCTGTACTTAATCCTTCCGTTTTACAGTCAGCCACTTACCAATTCTATTCTGACAGTCATCTGATATACATAAATAAAGAACCAATTATAAACAAAATTTAACGTGTTGATTGACACAAAAAGGCAGTATTCGTTTTACATCGTCCTTTCCAACAGACAGCTATTAAAGTGTTTTTTCCTGTTCTCGCGGTTCCCTAGTATTACATGTAAACATAGATCCTGTTGCGTTTACTTACAGTAAACAATGTGCATGGCGCTAGACATCGTGCACAGGTAATCGTGCCGACAAGACAAAGCATACACAAACATTAATTACGCCCAAAAATGAATGACTGATTAAAGTATAAGAGTAATGAAAGAGATTTTAACCTACCAGCATTTCCTTTGTAGTGAGACAAGCCATAGAGCAACAACTTGGGTGCGTTTGTTTGGCACCAGCAAAAGAATAGCCCTGGTAGTTCAGAATTTTGGACTGCACGCGTTAGCCTTCGAAAGTTACGTGAGCTTCTTTAGTCCACGTCAAAACAATAGAAGTATACAGTATTTGCATTATATTCTCTTATCATATAACCTTAAACTAAACAACACAACCATATATCCGATATTGTCAAAGCTATATATATATAGTCGTAAGAACAGCTGTACTTAGCTATAGTAACCATACAAATAACTAAAGACGGCGAGCGTAAAACCAGTCAGCCTAAATTATCCTCTACATTCACAGTCGGAACACCTCAGGCAATTACGATGCAACACTGTAATCGAGGCGAGATGCTTCGAATGTCACGAAACAGTGAATTATTACCTAAAAATCTGAAGTAATCCGAAAATAATTTCGTCATCGCCAACATGGCGACGTTTCAGGCGCTGAACGTCAACTTGGTGAAATATGTATGCTCTTGTGGAAAAAATCACCCTGTTTGCAGGCTGTATTTGTGTCGACATTGTTTGAAGTTGAGATGTGGCGATTGTGTTCTCCACGAAGTAATACGATTTTACATTTATTAAGGGCATAAGCTATTTGCAATTCAGGGGTGGGGTTTGGGTTGCACATCACAACTCAACAAAAAATATTGGAAATCAATGGAAAATTTTACATTTTTTTTGCTGTTTATATGTATAATCAGAATACTAATGACAAAGATACCGGAAGGGCATGGGTTGAATCCAATATGTATCTCTAGGGGTTTTTGGGAGTGGCTGATATAAAATTTTAGTCACTAAATTATGGTAATATTTTACCGATTATGGCATGGCATCCGACTGTCCATCCGTCGTAAACTGTTATTTGTCCACATATCTTCTCCCAGACTTGGTGTCAGACTTAATAACCATGACATGAAATTGTTTTTCTGCTCTGCATCTCGTCCGAAGATATTTTTCACAGATTTCAACCGATCGTTTTCAGACTTGGTAGTGTTAAAAATGTAACAGGTCATTATTTATCTCATGCCTCTGCTTTAGTTTACTAGTCTGATGTTCAACCGATTGAGCTAAAGAGGAATTCTCTCTAGCCAAGTGGTTAGCCAATATGCTTGTGAAAGTAATGCTAAGTATTATCCCAGAGTCATTACATAGGTACCAATGTGAAAGAGGTCATTGTTTATTTCATGCCTAGGATTTGAACCCAGGACCTCTGGTTTATTATTCTTGATGCTCATCCTTTTAAGCTAAAGAGATGATCTCTTTATCTGAGAGGTGTATTACGGCTAGTAGTTTACCAGGGTTACATAATGACATGGCATTTTGGTTTGACAGTATGGAGAGAGATCTCAGTTTAAAACCAATTTCTTTCAAACTTAGTAGCTAGACTTTATAACTATGATGGGAAATCATGTTTTCCTGCACAGCAGTTGGATTCAACAAATCTTGAAGATGTATTGCCCAATATTTTTTTTACCACTTTTTCATTCAAGCATATTTTATTGATAAAAATGTGCACCTAAGGGGTTGGGTGCATGTTCTTACAACTTGCAAGGCCCTCTCCCAACATTTTAATACACAGTAATTATTTAACATTCTAATTCTGTCTGCAGATCTCCATTCTCATTTTTCAACCAATTTCTCAGAAAAATGGTAGGCTTTATAGCCATTTTGATGTTTATTAATGTCAATTTGGTTGTACAATTTTGGATGAGTCATTGCCCATTTTTATTTTTATCTTGCCTGGAAATCTTGAAATCCTAAATATTTGGCATGTGATGGATGTTTATTGTTTTCTTTTACAGTCCTCTTGTTGATATATATGCCAGACCAATGTAAAAAAGTTGACATAATGTCAGCATTCTTTTATTTAGCTGATATGAGCAAAAGTAGTTTAATGTGAAAATGGGCTGGTACATATGTGAACTGTTAAATTACAAATAAAGTCAAATGTATATGTATGCTAAAAACAAATGCAGCCATCTGAATTATGCTTGAGCAATGAATTCACAAACATAGATAAATATATGTATTTAAAAGAATTGTTAGTTCTAGTAAGTGTTAATATTGAGTTTAATGTGCTCAAACACTTGTGTAATGTTGGTGATTCCCATCAATTACAGGTGGACACACCATATTGCCCCAATTGTCTGGAGCACATGCCATCAACAGAAGCAAAGCTGAAGAAAAATAGGTATGTTCTGTGGTTTTTTTCCTTTAACATATTGTTACTTTTAGAGTAAGTTTGTTTTGTTATTTTTCTGATAATTTCATCTCTTGATGAATACTCCCCACAATGAGGAAAACAAGCACTGAATTTATTATTTTCTTTATTTTTTACACTTAAAGCAATTAGCTAGATGATAATATTTAGTTTACAGGTATTGATCTACATAAAGAGATGGTCAAAAGGCTGCCATTTTTAGGTCACTCTTGTTACTCATCACTTTGGATTGCAGCATGTATCAGTGTTTCTCAGAAAGTACTTTAAGGATGTTCTCAGACATCATATATACAGTAAACTCAGTGGGGCCATCAAAATTACTTCGTAGAAACCGAACTTCGTGAAACCCGATACAGTTCAGTTCTGACCTGGTCAATGCGTAGGCCTAATTAGTAAGTGTAATCAAGCGACAAAATGTTCTTATTTACATAATACTGTATGTAAATATAACTACCACCAAGGTAAAGTGTGAAGTTTTACTATTTATTATTTTTGTTATCTACAAACCAACATATTTACATGTATTGACAGTTATAAATAGGCTTTATGTAGTACATTAGACTCGTTCACTATAAATGTTAGCCTAGTGGCATGCATGTAACACTGTGATTTAAAATGGAAATATTTCAAACTTGGTAAGAATTATGAGTGAATGATGACGGTTTGATGGTGTGCCCAATTTGATCCTGACTGACCCCAGGGGCTGATGGGCGGGGACAAAAGGGGTCAAATTTACTTAAATTTCAAAAACCATCTTTTCAACACCCAGATAAGATCAGATAAAATGCTCTGCATGGATGGAAGCATCTTAAGGTGTTTTACCAAAATTGTGAATTTCATGGCCCCAGGGTCTCTCATTTCCCCGTGGGGAGGGGGTAAAGTTTACTATAGTTTATATAGGAAAACTAGATTTTTGAGCATAAGTTGATTAATTTTCATTGGAAATATTTCAAACTTGGTTAGAATTACGAATAAAGGATGAGGGCTTGATGGTATGCTCATTTTGATCCTGAATTTTATTACTTTGTGAACTGCAGAATATCAGTATAAATTATCATCGTCCATGTTCAGTTTGAGAAAGATTATGAGGTTAATTGGGTGCACATGCTGCCTTTCTTTTCAGGTGCAGTAACTGTTTTGACTGTCCAAGCTGTGGTCATACTATGACTACCAGGGCCACAAGTCAGGTGGTCACCAACCCCGATGACCCCAACAAGACCACTTCAAAAAAGGTCTACTACCTAGCCTGTGGTTTCTGTCGCTGGACTACCAGGGATGTAGGCATTATGGACAAACCACAAGGTACACAATACTGATGTCACAAAACTCTTTGTACAGTTAATGTATGTTTGAAATAAAGGATTGGATGTTTTTGAATGATTACTAAAATATATAAGTATATTCAAGTGTTCTTTGTATGTCAAAGGGACTACTGTATTCTTATGAATGACATTTTTCTGTTCTGTAGCCAGTGGATGCTGGGAAGCTTTGGAAAATCCAGATTCAAAAAGGGTAAGAATTTGTTGTGTTTAATTTTAAATGCTTCATTTTTATTCACCAAAAGGAAAGAATTTCTCTTTCATCAGCTACAATTCCTTTATTGTCTCCATGGATCATTGGAAGTACAGACCACCATTTAATGTTAGAACAATATCTATACAATAAAACATATTGTCTTAGTGACTGGAAGACATCATTTAATCAGTTCAGTGTGCTGTCGTGTGAATTGATATCCCTGTGTGTAACCAAGTAAATTTTCATATACTATAGTTATTATACAAACTTTGTTTGAATATTTGATCTGATTTAGAATGTGGTATTAAATTGTCATTGTAGATTTTCTCTCTTTTGGAGACCTACCAACAGCTTGCTCAGCGAGAGAAGACTGAAAAGGAAAGAAAGAAATATGTGAGGCGCCGCAGTTATCTGAACTATGCTGTAAGTGTGAGAACATGTAGTGGCTATTTATTTGGATGCTGATTAATTTGTTCCTGCCTTTATTTAAAAGATGAAGTGATAACTTGTCCATGAATTCATTGATATTTTAATGACTGTGATAAAACAGAAATATCGATAATACCTCTTTTACAACATGATCACCTGTAAATGCAAAGTATATTTTCTGTTGTGCAATGTCCCTCGTCCTTCCATGGTCAATTTTTTTTCATTTGGTGCCTTGATACACAATATTAGAATGGCTTCTGTGGATGAAGGGAGACAATCACCTTGCAATAAAACATTTTTATTTTTGTAGTGTGTGGGAAAAAATAAGTTTTTGGTTTTATGCAATGAAGAAATAATTCACTTTTAACTTGGTATACAGTTTTTCTTCAATAATCTTAATTTTTGCTGATTTTTATCAAAAAATGACAGTTCTAAGTCTGTTGTATTAATACACTTAGTTTCAGCTACATGCGCTGGAATATGTTTCATTCTCTGTGATGTTTCATCTCTACAGTATCAGTCTTTCATCAAAGAAATCAAGTTTTGATTTGATGTTTCCTGATTTATTTTCACTGTAATTATGTAATAAATTTGAAGAACTTGTACCTAATGGTGTGATTGCAGGCTAGTATGGATAAGTATGGGCTGACATCTGTAGCTGCAAAGAAGAAAGCATCAGTGGGATCCAGTATGAGGTAAATAAACAAATATATAATGGGGACCCCCCTGCTTTATTGTAGACCTCACAAGTTAGTATTAAAATGCATGAATAGCAGAGCCTTAATCAGTCGTATTACAGAGTGTACTCAAGGGTTCAAGTGGAAATGATTGTTACTCAGTATAACTCTCGTCTCAGTGCTTCTAAATAGTTTCAAGAATTCACGGGGCAGAAAAAAAGGCTATGAAATGTAAAAGGTCTACAATATGAATTTTGCAGTGAACGTTAATCACCATTTCCCAGGAGGTACTGGACAGATCCTTGTTAAGTTTTTTCTTTATTGTGTCGAAAGAATGAAAATTATCAATTCATTTGTTAAACTACTGCGTGAATTTTTATTTTATTTTCCTTTGATAAGGTACCCTCCATAGTTCTTAGTTGCGCATGAACAAGTTTGGTGCCTGATCGCCATCTTACAATAGAATTAAAGTTAATGATAAGATGTCATGCTTCCATTTTTCTGAAAGTTTAAATAGGAACAAAAATCATTCAAATTAAAAACCAATTTCATTAAAATTGGAGAGAGCATTCTCAACTCTGAAACATTGGTTCTATTGGGTTGTTTTGGTGTAGTTTTGCACCTGATCAGTAGGATGGCGACCAGGTGGTAACATTTGGTTTATTATCTACCTCATCCATAAGGCTGATCTTGCTTTATTTTCCTTTGTTGGAATGCAATTTAAATATTTTTGTTATATAAGCATTCACAGATTTTGGTAAGTGTGTCACTAAAATTTTTATCGTAACATAATCAATCCCTGATTTAGCTTACAATTTTAGTCTTTTGATGAAGTGAATATGGATCAAAAAATTTTCTATTATTTAAAACAATTTTTCTGATTAATGTCCATATGCATTTAAGCTAAAGATAAAAATTGTATGATTATTATATGACACAGTCAATCAAAATAACAGATAAACATCAGTTCCTTAAGATGCAATATAATCTCATTGAAGTTGTCATATGATAATGTTGATATCTCTGGTTATAACAAACTCTTTAGATAACATGTTGTACAGTGTATCTAGATTTAGAAAATAACACAGATGTCTGGTATCTAGATTTTTTATTAGTCACAATACATACTGATGTAACTTGGTATTCATTTAACTGTTATCACTGGCGTTGATCTGGTAGTCTAACCTTGTATAATTTGAAGCATTGTACATAAACGTTTAGTTGTTAAGTATTGCTTTTCCTGTCCTCCCAGCCAGACTGAATTAAGATTATCATTAGAATCACAATATATAACTGTCAAGCACAGCAGAAATTCTTTTCTTTCCCTTCTCTCCAAGTGAGGCTGGTATCAGATATTGTATTGTATGAACCACTCTATGTAGATGGGCAGCTATTTAGCACTGCTTTCTTCACCCTCCCATCCAGGCAGAATTTAGATGATTTTGCATAATACGAATCACTCTATATAAATGGGCAGCTGTTTCTCAGTGCTTTCCTCACCCTCCCTTTAAAAATGGACAGCTGTTAAGCACTGTTTTCATCACCCTCCCTATATAAATGGGTAGCTGTTAGCAGTGCTTTCCTCACCCTCCCTATATAAATGGGTAGCTGTTTCTCAGTGCTTTCCTCACCCTCCCTATATAAATGGGCAGCTGTTTCTCAGTGCTCTACTCTCCCTCCCTATATAAATGGGCAGCTGTTTCTCAGTGCTTTCCTCACTCTCCCTATATAAATGGGCAGCTGTTTAGCAGTGCTTTCCTCACCCTCCCTATATAAATGGGCAGCTGTTTCTCAGTGCTTTCCTCACCCTCCCTATATAAATGGACAGCTGTTTAGCAGTGCTTTCCTCACCCTCCCAAAATAAATGGGCAGCTCTGACTCAGTGCTTTCCTCACCCTCCCTATATAAATGGGTAGCTGTTTCTCAGTGCTTTCCTCACCCTCCCTATATAAATGGGCAGCTGTTTCTCAGTGCTTTCCTCACCCTCCCTATATAAATGGGTAGCTGTTTCTCAGTGCTTTCCTCACCCTCCCTATATAAATGGACAGCTGTTTAGCAGTGCTTTCCTCACCCTCCCTATATAAATGGGTAGCTGTTTAACAGTGCTTTCCTCACCCTCCCTATATAAATGGGCAGCTGTTTCTCAGTGCTCTACTCTCCCTCCCTATATAAATGGGCAGCTGTTTCTCAGTGCTTTCCTCACCCTCCCTATATAAATGGGCAGCTGTTTCTCAGTGCTTTCCTTACCCTCCCTATATAAATGGGTAGCTGTTTCTCAGTGCTTTCCTCACCCTCCCTATATAAATGGGCAGCTGTTTCTCAGTGCTTTCCTCACCCTCCCTATATAAATGGGCAGCTGTTTCTCAGTGCTTTCCTCACCCTCCCTATATAAATGGGTAGCTGTTCAGCAGTGCTTTACTCACCCTCCCTATATAAATGGGCAGCTGTTTCTCGGTGCTTTCCTCACCCTCCCTATATAAATGGGTAGCTGTTCAGCAGTGCTTTCCTCACCATCCCTATATAAATGGGCAGCTGTTTCTCAGTGCTTTCCTCACCATCCCTATATAAATGGGTAGCTGTTTCTCAGTGCTTTCCTCACCCTCCCTATATAAATGGGCAGCTGTTTCTCGGTGCTTTCCTCACCCTCCCTATATAAATGGGTAGCTGTTAGCAGTGCTTTCCTCACCCTCCCTATATAAATGGGCAGCTGTTTTTCAGTGCTTTCCTTACCCTCCCTATATAAATGGGCAGCTGTTTCTCAGTGCTTTCCTCACCCTCCCTATATAAATGGGTAGCTGTTTCTCAGTGCTTTCCTCACCCTCCCTATATAAATGGGCAGCTGTTTCTCAGTGCTTTCCTCACCATCCCTATATAAATGGGTAGCTGTTTCTCAGTGCTTTCCTCACCCTCCCTATATAAATGGGCAGCTGTTTCTCAGTGCTCTACTCTCCCTCCCTATATAAATGGGCAGCTGTTTAACAGTGCTTTCCTCACCATCCCTATATAAATGGGTAGCTGTTTCTCAGTGCTTTCCTCACCCTCCCTATAAAAATGGGCAGCTGTTTCTCAGTGCTCTACTCTCCCTCCCTATATAAATGGGCAGCTGTTTTTCAGTGCTTTCCTTACCCTCCCTATATAAATGGGCAGCTGTTTCTCAGTGCTTTCCTCACCCTCCCTATATAAATGGGTAGCTGTTTCTCAGTGCTTTCCTCACCCTCCCTATATAAATGGGTAGCTGTTTCTCAGTGCTTTCCTCACCCTCCCTATATAAATGGGCAGCTGTTTCTCAGTGCTCTACTCTCCCTCCCTATATAAATGGGCAGCTGTTTAACAGTGCTTTCATCACCCTCCCTATATAAATGGGCAGCTGTTTCTCGGTGCTTTCCTCACCCTCCCTATATAAATGGGTAGCTGTTAGCAGTGCTTTCCTCACCCTCCCTATATAAATGGGCAGCTGTTTCTCAGTGCTTTACTCTCCCTCCCTATATAAATGGGTAGCTGTTTCTCAGTGCTTTCCTTATTCTCCCTATATAAATGGGCAGCTGTTTAGCAGTGCTTTCCTCACTCTCCCAGCCAGACTGACTATAGATTATATGTTATGGAATGTACCACACTGTTTAAATGTATAGTTGTTAAGCAGTGCTGTTATATGGTACTTGGTGTTGTCCCTTTGATCTTGTTTGTGATCATTCATCAGTGTTGTGTGGAAGCTTTTGGTGTGTTTCAGTAAAACCTTTGATGTTGTTGGTTAACAAAGTGGATGTCTCATTTTTAAATGGGAAAATATGACAAAATATATATCCTAACTAATGCAAGGGTGAGAAACAGCATATTTTTATACCATTAATACATTTAGTGTCCAAATGTTTTGTACTGTTCTCTGTTGGGAATCACTCCCAAACTGTAATAAGATTCAAATTTTTAAAAAACTTTGAAAGTGAACACAACAAAGGTTTGATGAACACACTCATTCAACTGTCACTTATCTACCAACAAAAATCAAAATTGCAATGCAGTAAATAAAAAGCTCATTTATGATTGGTCAAAACTTCAAAAGATATATTATCATTGACAAAAGTTATATGATCACTAGTGAGGTTTCAGATGTCAGAGATGATAACGTACAGTCAATTGAAACAAAATGCCATAACTGTTCTATTACATTTTGGTAACCACACCAGAGCACATAATGCTCGAGGTATGTTACCATTCTATTGAAATTGTATTTTACACATACTATTCTTCACAGTATCATAAATACTGCTGCCTTGATTGTATTGTACTCTCACTCAACTTGATGGACAAATCTGATTGGCTGAAATGATTTCATGTCACAGAACACTTGCATGAGTTTTATCACTGTGGCAGAATGCATTTTGATTTGAAATGGAATAACATGTGATCAGATGTAGACTAATTAGCATCTGGTACAAACCTGAAAATGTGAAAATTTCTTCTATTTCACTGGTAAAACTGTTAAAAAAGAGTAATATACTTTAGATAAAAGAAATGGATGATAATTGTCAGTGCGGCCTCGTCATTGATGATAATTGTCAGTGCGGCCTCGTCATTGATGATAATTGTCAGTGCGGCCTCAGTGCGGCCTCGTCATTGATGATAATTGTCAGTGCGGCCTCGTCATTGATGATAATTGTCAGTGCGGCCTCGTCATTGATGATAATTGTCAGTGCGGCCTCGTCATTGATGATAATTGTCAGTGCGGCCTCGTCATTGATGATAATTGTCAGTGCGGCCTCGTCATTGATGATAATTGTCAGTGCGGCCTCGTCATTGATGATAATTGTCAGTGCGGCCTCGTCATTGATGATAATTGTTGCGGTCAGTGCGGCCTCGTCATTGATGATAATTGTCAGTGCGGCCTCGTCATTGATGATAATTGTCAGTGCGGCCTCGTCATTGATGATAATTGTCAGTGCGGCCTCAGTGCGGCCTCGTCATTGATGATAATTGTCAGTGCGGCCTCGTCATTGATGATAATTGTCAGTGCGGCCTCGTCATTGATGATAATTGTCAGTGCGGCCTCCTCAATCAATCAAAGTCTATGTTGTGTTGTATGATGTATACTGGTAATTCAAACATGTTGTAGTACCCTGAAAGAAAATGAAGAGGCTGTTATTAAGTCATTCTCCCGTTCGGAGCCTGTTGTTGACTTTGAACCCCTGCCAGAAGACATCTTCACAGAACCAGTTGTACTTGACAAAAGTAAGTATATGAAATTTTTTTTTGATTTGAGACAAAAAAAATCATGCACTTGTTCATGAGGAAGTTTTAAACTCACCTGAAAATAAACAAAATTGCTATCCAAGATGAGTGTTTAAACACCTTTAAACTTTCAATATGATGCTGCCACCATTAAGTGGTATAGTCAGGTGTTACCATGAATGACTTGTTGCTTCACATGTATGTTTTACAGCTGATATTACAGGATTGTTGTAAGTAAAACTTAAATGAGTGATGAGTACTCTGCATGGAAATAGATCTGTCATAACTATCAGAATAGTGGTATTGTTTAAACACTAAGTCTAAAAATTGGTCTTCAGATATACAGATGTTATATTGATTATCTATGGTAAATCGTTCTGGAGTAAGATTTAATTAATCAGAAAACATGTGTATATGCAATGAGAAAAGTAAATTTAGGCTGTGACAAATCATGGTGACCATTTATTTGTTCAAAAGGAAAACATAAACAAATGAGAGTATGATAGACCTTGTTTTTATCCTTACTTACAGTTGCCAGTATTGGGCAGAGACTTGCCAGTCCAGAGTTCCAACCAGAGAATGCGGGGTCTTTGTATCCACGTCACAAGCATCTACTGATCCGCAGATCACTTAGGTGTAAGGTAAGAAAGAGACACAAGGATTTCAGTAAGGTCACATGTGTGTAACAGTTGGTTTTAACTAGCCATTTCAATATCATTTCATTTGAGAATATCTCTTTGATGATAATATAATAATTATAATGATATGGCTGTTATTGAACTTAACATGGTTCATCACAGTTATATATTGAATAAGTTTAATTTTGGTCTTGTATTTCAGGAGTGTGAACACAATTTGAGCAAGCCAGAATTCAATCCACTCTCTATCAAATTTAAAATCCAATTGATCGCATTGTAAGTATCATTTATATATTAAAAGGTTTTTGTCAGGTTGAACAATATCTTTTAGGTCATCTGACCCGAATGGTCAGGATGACCTATAGCGATTGTTTTTCATCCATCATTGTGTGCCATCCACTATGAATAAACTTTCCATTTAAATTACTTCTCCTCAATAACCAGAAGCTCATGGTACTGATATTAAGCCTGTAGTATGATGGGATGAAAGAGCTACCAAGTTTGTTAATATGAATGACCTTGACCCTCTTTCAAGGTCACAAGACTCAAATATGTCAAACTCTTTAAACAACTTCTTCTCAATAACTAAAACGCCAAGAGTGCTGATATTGGGCAAGTAGCATGCTGGGATGAAGGGAAACAAAGTTTGTTTAAATGACCCACTTTCAAGGTCACAGGGGCCAAATATGCTAAACTACAACAACGGAGAATGTTATCCATTCCATTTATTTGAAAATAAAGACTTCAAACTTAGAAACAATAAAAACTTTTAAAATGTCAGTTGTTTTTGCTTTATGCTTGGACTGAAGTGCAAGTTCTAAAACTGTCCAGATACCTGAAGACCTCAGGTGACTGTTAAGACCTATGGGCTTCCTGTTTTTGTCCCAGTGTTAACTTTTTGCTTCAGACTTTAATCCATTGTTTATTTTTGCCCTATTGATAAAATGACCAAACAGGTGAAAGTTTAACTGTGATAAAAGTTTCCCTATTTTCTGTAAGTAATCGACATGGAGAGTTTACGAATAAAACTTTTTTCTAGTCGTTCCTGATAACTTGTCAGTATGTCACTTAATAACTGTACTTTGTTGTTCTCAGTCCATATTTTAGTGACATCCTAACCACTTCTCTTTATTGACCATGAGTCAATGAAGGTTTCAATGTACATTGGAGTGGGATATAATTTACAAGCTGGTGATCAGACTATAAAAAGCAGGTTAAGTTGTTGATAATCTGGAAGTAACACATGAAAGTTGATTTATCTATATTTTGTTATAGACCTGGTTAAGATGTGTAATTGTCTATGAGTATGGCCCCTTCATTTCTGATCAAGTATTTCAAAAGTTTGTTGTCTTATAAAGATGATAAAGAAGTCGTCAAAATTTCATGCAATGATTTATCCTACCTGGTTATGTTATATGAAAATGTATTCCTAAAGGGAGGATATGGTCTTCAGGAAGCTTTTGGGTGTAAACTTGATATACATGTAAGTATCTGGTAGGGATTATTGTGATGTGTTATGTAATGAGAGTAAAGGAGAACCAGTTGTAATTTGATATATTTTTATACTTACAGATTGCATGTCCCAGAGATAAGAATTTTTTCACCTACAGAACTCAAATGTAAAAAGGTATGTTGCTATAGGTATGAAGTTGATTAAAACTGATTAAAAGGCACAAAGTTATAAAATGATAAGTTAGGAAGAGCACCTGACAGTATATTTACATAAAACCACAAGAATTCTTGCTGTAAAAAGTTGTCCACATCACTTGGGATTTTATTATAGTAGAGGGGAGACAACTCTCTGCTGAAGTTGTTTCATGGTCCATATATATTTCCTCTGTAAAAAAAAAGATTTCTTTTGAAAGTAAATTGAAATTGTAAACAGGTAATGTTAAAGGATGAACAATATGTACTGTGATTTTACTCGAATACATTTAAAACAGTTTTATTCAGTAAGGTTCCTTGGATGAAAGCTGACTATATTTAGGGTCTTATGGTCGTATTTGTTAAAATAATTTTTTAATCATTAACCAAATGGCCTAGAATCATGATATTTAGCTATTGGGGCAAATATTGCTAAAGGCAATGACCTTGACTGATATTTTTAAAAATTTAAAACAGCATGGGTAATTAGTGAGATATGATATTTAAAAAAGGTAATTGCAATCCGAATGATATAATGAATTTAGAAAGGATTAAACTTGTCATTTGATTTAAACATATGTGAGTAGGATCATGAAACTTCCCTGCAGAAATTTTCATTTTTAATGTGTTTATCTCTGCATTTTTTTACTCAAATTTGTTTCCTCTGTTGATATAGGAGTGTAAGGTTGTGTTGTCTGTATGTAATCCTGCTGTTTACAACACTACCATCAGTCTTCTACCAATAAAGGATCAAGATGACTTTAGCAACTCAAAGGTAAGAAAACATTAACACACAAAGATACCCAAATATGTACATAAACACAAAAAAGTAACCAAATATGTACATAAACTGACAAAGGTACTAAAATATGTACATAAACACCCAAAGGTAACCAAATATGTACATATACACACAAAGGTAACCAAATATGTACATCAACACCCAAATATACTCAAATAGACACACAAAGGTACAGAAATATGTACATAATCACAAAGTATTTTAGTGTGTCAGAATAAGTACATTTATAGTATGTTTTTGCTCTATTCAGCAGTGATGGAAAACAGCTGTATTTTAGCATATTCATTTCTACACCAAAATTACTTTCTCATATTTCTTTAGATATTACATTTGAAGTATGAACAACTGTTTAGATATATGATATTGTTACTTGTAATGAAAAGTTAATTTTTTACCAAAATTTAAGAAATTGCTAATATTTGTTGAAGTTACATCAATGTAAAGTAAATAAATATGAGCACAAGCATATTTCCATTCATTTCAAGGTTGAACTGCCAAAGCAAGAAGTGGTTATTTCAAGCCGGGATGATGCTGCAATATATGACGATGGTAGTCAGGGACAGGAGGTGTTTAAAGATGACCCCAGGTAATAATTACACTTCTAAACATATATAAATGTTATATACCTACACTAAACACTCAGTATCAATATATGACGATGGTAATCAGGGACAGGAGGTGTTTAAAGATAACCCCAGGTAATAATTACACTTCTAAACATATAAATGTTATATACCTACACTCTCTAAACATTTTACTTCTACAAAGATTTACTTTCACTTAGCACTTCATTTCTATAGAGATCTGCCCTCACTACACACTGTAACAAAGATCTGCCCACATCAAACACTTTAACAGAGATCTGCCTTCACTAAACACTTCAACAGAGATTTGCCCTCTCTACACACTTTAACAGAGATTTGCCCTCTCTACACACTTTAACAGAGATCTACCCACATCAAACACTGTAACAAAGATCTGCCCACATCAAACACTTCAACAGAGATCTGCCTTCACTAAACACTTCAACAGAGATTTGCCCTCTCTACACACTTTAACAGAGATTTGCCCTCTCTACACACTTTAACAGAGATCTACCCACATCAAACACTGTAACAGAGATCTGCCTTCACTAAACACTTCAACAGAGATTTGCCCTCTCTACACACTTTAACAGAGATTTGCCCTCTCTACACACTTTAACAGAGATCTACCCACATCAAACACTGTAACAGAGATCTGCCTTCACTAAACACTTCAACAGAGATTTGCCCTCTCTACACACTTTAACAGAGATTTGCCCTCTCTACACACTTTAACAGAGATCTGCCCACATCAAACACTTTAACAGAGATCTGCCCACATCAAACACTTTAACAGAGATTTGCCCTCTCTACACACTTCAACATAGATTTGCCCTCTCTACACACTTTAACAAAGATCTGCCCACATCAAACACTGTAACAGAGATTTGCCCTCTCTACACACTTTAACAGAGATTTGCCCTCTTTACACACTTTAACAGAGATTTGCCCTCTCTACACACTTTAACAGAGATTTGCCCTCTCTACACACTTTAACAGAGATTTGCCCTCTCTACACACTTTAACAGAGATCTAACCTCACTAAAACTTTATCTTCTACAGAAATCTACCTGCAGTTAACACTTACCTTTTATAGATCTCTACTCTCACTTAACTTGTACAGAAATCTTACCTCTTAACTTGTACAGAAATCTACCCTCTTCAAACACTTCTACAGGAATCCACCCTCACATAACACTTAACTGGTACAGAAATCCACATTCACATAACACTTAACTGGTACAGGAATCCACCCTCACATAACACTTAACTTGTACAGAAATCTACCCTCTTTAAACACTTCTACAGGAATCCACCCTCACATAACACTTAACTTGTACAGGAATCCACCCTCACATAACACTTAACTTGTACAGGAATCCACCCTCACATAACACTTAACTGGTACAGGAATCCACCCTCACATAACACTTAACTTGTACAAGAATCCACCCTCACATAACACTTAACTTGTACAGAAATCTATCCTCTTCAAACACTTCTACTTGAATCCACCCTCACATAACACTTAACTTGTACAGGAATCCACCCTCACATAACACTAAACTTGTACAGGAATCCACCCTCACATAACACTAAACTTGTACAGGAATCCACCCTCACATAACACTTAACTTGTACAGGAATCCACCCTCACATAACACTTAACTTGTACAGGAATCCACCCTCACATAACACTAAACTTGTACAGGAATCCACCCTCACATAACACTTAACTTGTACAGGAATCCACCCTCACATAACACTTAACTTGTACAGAAGTCTATCCTCTTCAAACACTTCTACTTGAATCCACCCTCACATAACACTTAACTTGTACAGGAACACTTAACTTGTACAGGAATCCACCCTCACATAACACTTAACTTGTACAGGAATCCACCCTCACATAGCACTTAACTTGTACAAAAATCTTCCCTCTTCACACACTTCTACAGGAATCCGCCCTCACATAACACTTAACTTGTACAGAAATCTATCCTCTTCAAGCACTTCTACAGGAATCCACCCTCACATAACACTTATTAAAAGTAAACACTGAAAACAATAGATAAGATATTGCGATCCCTGATAAATCTACCACTAGAAAAGTTCTATAATACAGGGTTAACTGTCTGAATTTTTCAGCATTGTGAAGTTCAGAAGAGACAACAAGATTGGAATAATAATCAAAGTGACCCCAGGAATCGAGGATGGAGATGTCAAGGTACCCTGTTTCCTCTCTATAGTAATGTAGCTCTTACTTATATTATCAACATCTTTACTTTAACGTCAGTTTCTTGATTGCTTACTTTATGACTCACCTGATCAAAAGGACTAGTGAGCTTATGTCATGGCACAGCATCCACCGTCTGTCCTGTATCCATCAATTTTTTACTAAAAATCACTACTTGTCATGAATCGCAGGAGAGATTTAGGATTGCAAAATGGGAAATTTTGAAAGTTCTTCAAAATTTTACTCTTGTTGAATAGATGTTGTCCAAATTTTGTCTGAAGCATTCTTAGGTGAGTTGGAATCAATCTTTTATAAACATTAGGTCTCGTCACCCTGGGGTAGGAGGGGCGGGGCACTATTTGAGAAAAAGAACAAATTCTGTAAAATCCTAATCTTCCATTAAGAATATTTGGATATAACCCAAATTTTGTCTGAAGCATTCTTAGGTGGAGGGGGAACCAATCTTTAATAAACATTAGGTCTTGGCATCCTAGCCTGAGAGAGGTGGGGCTCAATAGGGGAAAAGAGCACATCATATGAAATCCTATTGTTCCTTTAGGAATGATTGGATTTCACCCAAACTTAGTCTGATGTATTCTTGTTTAGAGGGGAATCAATTTTGCGTGAAAAGTGGATCCTGGCCTTGTGGTTTTTGAGGTGCCTACTCCTGTTGTAGTAGTGATTAGATATTATCCAAGTTTGGTCTGAAACATCCTTGGGTGAAAAAAGATAAGTTTTTTTTAAAATGATCTTTCTCAGTTCCCTGGGGCTAGGGGCAAAGCCCAGTAGAGGAAATATACTAAATTCATTAAAATCCTTCTCCTCCTGTATGAATGATTGGATTTTCCCCAAATTATTGGCTGAAGTGGGATGGGAGAAGTGGGGCTGAATAATGCAAATTCTCTAGAATCCTTCTTTTGTGGGAATGCCTTGATTCTGCCCTGATTTGATCTGAAGCATACCTAGTTGAAAGGAATCAAATATTATGTATCAACTAGGAGTCTGACATCAGAGGTATGGTACCCAGTAGGGGAAACTGAAGACCTTAAAAATCCTTCTTCTCTGTGAATGCTAAATCTGACTTTCGTTGATCACAAGGCTTAAAAAAAAGGTAATTCATTCAAAACTATATATATATAGCTGAATTAGCCAGGTGAGGAATGAAGGGTGCATGGGCCTCGTGTTACAGGCTATTTTCTGGTTGAAGCATGATTACAAGAATACAGCCATTGCTCTGTATGTCTGTATATTTCTCTGTTATGTTACAGGTTGGTTTCTGGTTGAAGCATGATTACAGGAATACAGCCATTGCTCTGCCATCAGAAGGTCAGGAGCCTCAGACAGTTTGGCTTCAGCACCAAGTTCACCTCAATCTCGGTCCACTCAGAGTCACCAAGTGATAACAGATAATGTGGATACGGTCTTGTCTTGGTTCTGTGGCCTGAAGATTTCCAACTAAATCAAGCTAACAAATCGTGGTGTAACTTTATCAATGGACAGAAATCTCTGTTCCAGAAAGAGCTTATATGAACAAAGACAATGTTTTAAGTGAGCTATTGTGATCACCTTTTGGCCGTCGTCATACATCATTCATTGTGCTTTGTTAACAATTTACATTTTTTGCTTTTTCTCAATAACTGGAAGGTCCAGAGTTCTAATATTGGGACTGTAGCATGACGGGATGAAGGGCTACAAGTTTCTTCAAATTAATGACCTTGACTGACTTTCAAGGTCATATATAGGGGTCAAATATGTTAAAATTTTCAAAAGACTTCTCAATAAGTCCCAGAGATCTTGATATTGGGCTTGTAGGGATGAAGGGCTAGCAAGTTTGTTCAAATGAATGATCTTGACAAGCTTTCAAGGTCACAGGGGTCATATGGATGAGTATTTATATTCATTGTAATTGGAAATTTGTTGTCAAGGAGGTTTAATATTTGTCAGAGCCATAAGAGTTCCACTTGTTCAATTTTTTGCAGTGTCCTTTAAATCCACATCTGATACCACAATACTCTGCAGGCTTTAATCTGTATGCTAGATATTGGATAAGATAGTTCTGTTAAATTTGGTCATTCGTTAAAAATAAAAATTCAACTCAGGTGACCGTTAAGGCCTATGGGTCTCTTGTTATTTTCCATTTTCACATCAGCTTATTTATTTTGGTGAAGGCTTCATTCATAATTTGTATGTGAATATGTCTTACATAAACAATATTACTGAGAGAACATATGTTCACCTGGTATATGTCATTGTTTATTGGTGGTATGTTTTTAAAATTGATGCAAAAAACTTTTTCTGCAATCATCTGTAAAATGTGGAGCTTCTTCAAATCGACCATGTATGGGACATGAACATCTAGCCAGTTTAGGGAAGGTTCAGTATGCAGAAGTGAACAATGTTGACCTGTCCAGACTCATGTATAATTGATCTGCATGGTTACATTCTTACCTTACATGAATGCTGCACATGTCTAACTGAGTACAGAAAGAAACTCTATAGAGTAAATGTATTTTGATAAAGTTTAGAAAAAGAAACAATGATACGTGTACCGGTATACAATATGTGACTTCAGCAGTTATGGCATTACGCAAGGTCAAACATTTGATAAAGTGATGGTTTCCTTAGTATAATGAAAATACCTTTTAATACAACGCTTAATGTTTCCATTTTGTACATGTTAGAGTAACATGATCCAATGACTTTGCAGCTTTCTAGCTTTTTTTTCAATTTGTCTAAAGCCCTTACATGCTTCAGTGAAAATGAACTACAAATGACGAAAACCTACCCCTGAAACGAGGAGACTAGCTTTACTCAGGCATATTCATAGTGAGCTGTGTATGATGGATGAGTTCATTGTAGAGAGATCTATAGGATGTAGCTTATTGTAAACTTTTAATCCCTATCATTAAGTGATATACTAAGCTTGGTCATGGAGCACACCTGTTATAAAGAATCTGTGTGAAACAAAACAGAATCTGTGTGAAAGAAAACATTGTACATGTCAGTATTTTATTCCTACCAAAATGAAGACTTTGTGGAATCAAAACTATGAAACATCTAAATGAGTGATTATATGTCCATGGCTCATACAGATAGGAAGAATCCTTGAACTTGCTTGTTAAGTCATGGGAATTTCACAATACTGCTTAAAAAGTACACAAATTTATATTTCTGATGTTAAAATGAAAAACCAAGCTTAATATTTAAAAAAAAATATTCAAAGAAATCTCCAAACTTTTCAAGTATAAAGTGAGTTATTAAGTTATTACCTTCCGTAGAGCTATAATGTTCACAGAAAATTGTTGGACAGAAAATATTTATTAATCTGGTTAGAACATTAATGTGTTCATACAAGTTATATACATGTAGGTTTTGTGGAAATGAGGTGTGTCATTGCTGATGAATAAATTGAGTTCATTAATGGAATTGAATTGTTGTTTTTTGAGTATCATGGACAGCAACTGTTCAGTTGTCTTTAGCTTTTACTTTTCAGCCATCCATCATCAGTTGCTTTGCTGTTTCAGTTGCCCCAAATCCATGATCAGTCACCCATCTGTCTGTAAACAATTATTGTTATTATTTCTGAAGAAGTACTGGATGAAACTTTATCAAATTACATGTGTAAGTGCCGTTTGGTCCCTAGTTGTGTCCTATTTTTGGGACTGATCAGAAAAATTAAATGACCAACAGGTGGCCATCTTTAGTTTTGGAAATAAAAATTTATCATTATTTCTCCAGAAATATTGGATGGATCATTCTCAGATCTAATATAAGGTTCCCCTTTATCCCTAGTTGTTCATATCTGGGGACTGACCCAAAAATACAAAATGACTGACAGGTGACCACCTTGGATTTGGCAGTTAAAGATTATTATCGTTATATCTTAAATGAATTTTCAACTTTCATTTTAGAGAAAAAACAGTGGAAAGAAGAGAAAAGAATGAAAAATATCTATTTTTTAAAGCACAGAGATCCAACTATTATCAGTGCCAAGATCCATCAGAGATATGTTCTAGATACCTTGTACACTGATTCTCCAGTGTGCTTGTAGACTTGTATGCATGTACTTTCTATACTGATCCTTTTGTATACTTGTGTTTAGTCTTTTTGATACTAAGTTGACTTGCATTTTCTCTTTACAACATTTTTGACACTGATTCTTTAATATGTTTTCTCTTTTCATTACCATGGACACTGATTCTGTAATATGTTTTCTCTTTTTGTTACCATGGACACTGATTTTTTAACATGTTTTCTCTTTTTGTTACCATGGACACTGATTTTTTAACATGTTTTCTCTTTTTGTTACCATGGACACTGATTCTGTAATATGTTTTCTCTTTTTGTTACCATGGACACTGATTCTTTAACATGTTTTCTCTTTTTGTTACCATGGACACTGATTCTGTAATATGTTTTCTCTTTTTGTTACCATGGACACTGATTCTTTAACATGTTTTCTCTGTTTGTTACCATGGACACTGATTCTTTAACATGTTTTCTCTTTTTGTTACCATGGACACTGATTCTTTAACATGTTTTCTCTTTTTGTTACCATGGACACTGATTCTTTAACATGTTTTCTCTTTTTGTTACCATGGACACTGATTCTTTAACATGTTTTCTCTTTTTGTTACCATGGACACTGATTCTTTAACATGTTTTCTCTTTTTGTTACCATGGACACTGATTCTTTAAATGTTTTCTCTTTTTGTTGCCATGGACACTGATTCTTTAACATGTTTTCTCTTTTAGTTACCATGGACACTGATTCTTTAACATGTTTTCTCTTTTTGTTACCATGGACACTGATTCTTTAACATGTTTTCTATTTTTGTTACCATGGACACTGATTCTTTAACATGTTTTCTCTTTTTGTTACCATGGACACTGATTCTGTAATATGTTTTCTCTTTTTGTTACCATGGACACTGATTCTGTAATATGTTTTCTCTTTTTGTTACCATGGACACTGATTCTTTAACATGTTTTCTCTTTTTGTTACCATGGACACTGATTCTTTAACATGTTTTCTCTGTTTGTTACCATGGACACTGATTCTTTAACATGTTTTCTCTGTTTGTTACCATGGACACTGATTCTTTAACATGTTTTCTCTTTTTGTTACCATGGACACTGATTCTTTAACATGTTTTCTCTTTTTGTTACCATGGACACTGATTCTTTAATGTTTTCTCTTTTCATTACCATGGACACTGATTCTGTAATATGTTTTCTCTTTTTGTTACCATGGACACTGATTCTTTAACATGTTTTCTCTGTTTGTTACCATGGACACTGATTCTTTAACATGTTTTCTCTTTTTGTTACCATGGACACTGATTCTTTAACATGTTTTCTCTTTTTGTTACCATGGACACTGATTCTTTAACATGTTTTCTCTTTTTGTTACCATGGACACTGATTCTTTAACATGTTTTCTCTTTTCATTACCATTCTTTAATGTTTTCTCTTTTTGTTACCATGGACACTGATTCTTTAACATGTTTTCTCTTTTTGTTACCATGGACACTGATTCTTTAACATGTTTTCTCTTTTCATTACCATGTTTTCTCTTTTTGTTACCATGGACACTGATTCTTTAATGTTTTCTCTTTTCATTACCATGGACACTGATTCTTTAACATGTTTTCTCTTTTTGTTACTATGGACACTGATTCTTTAACATGTTTTCTCTTTTTGTTACCATGGACACTGATTCTGTAATATGTTTTCTCTTTTTGTTACCATGGACACTGATTCTTTAACATGTTTTCTCTTTTCATTACCATGGACACTGATTCTTTAACATGTTTTCTCTTTTCATTACCATGGACACTGATTCTTTAACATGTTTTCTGTTTTTGTTACCATGGACACTGATTCTGTAATATGTTTTCTCTTTTTGTTACCATGGACACTGATTCTTTAACATGTTTTCTCTTTTTGTTACCATGGACACTGATTCTGTAATATGTTTTCTCTTTTTGTTACCATGGACACTGATTCTTTAACATGTTTTCTCTTTTTGTTACCATGGACACTGATTCTTTAACATGTTTTCTCTTTTAGTTACCATGGACACTGATTCTTTAACATGTTTTCTCTTTTAGTTACCATGGACACTGATTCTTTAACATGTTTTCTGTTTTTGTTACCATGGACACTGATTCTTTAACATGTTTTCTCTTTTTGTTACCATGGACACTGATTCAGTAATATGTTTTCTCTTTTTGTTACCATGGACACTGATTCTTTAACATGTTTTCTCTTTTTGTTACCATGGACACTGATTCTTTAACATGTTTTCTCTTTTTGTTACCATGGACACTGATTCTTTAACATGTTTTCTCTTTTTGTTACCATGGACACTGATTCTTTAACATGTTTTCTCTTTTTGTTACCATGGACACTGATTCTTTAACATGTTTTCTCTTTTCATTACCATGGACACTGATTCTGTAATATGTTTTCTCTTTTTGTTACTATGGACACTGATTCTTTAACATGTTTTCTCTTTTCATTACCATGGACACTGATTCTTTAATTTTTTCTCTTTTCATTACCATGGACACTGATTCTGTAATATGTTTTCCCCCTTTTTGTTACCATGGACACTGATTCTCTTCGGGATGCTTGTATTTCTAGCCCACCATCTGATGATGGCATGCTGTTCAATGTGCCCTATGTCCACTGTCTATCACCCTTGCATCTGTAATCAATTTTTTCAGTACTGTTTCTTGAGAATTTCTTAAGAAGCACGAGATGGATCTCTCTCAAATTTGGTATGTAGGCTTTTTGTCCCTAGTTGTGCCCATTTGTGTTTCAAACTGATGAGAAAAACAAAATGGCTGACAGGCAGACATTTTGGATTTGGCATTTAAAGATTATTATGGCTAGCAGGCACCCATCTTGCATTTGGAAAATCAGAATTATTGCTGTTTTAATATTAAATTTGATATGTAGGTTCCACTTCGTCAGTGGTTGTGTCATTTTGATTTCGCAACTAGTCAGATAAGTAAAATGACAGTCAACCATCTTGGTTTTTGATAAAGAAAGATTGTTATAATATTTCTTGGGATGTACTGGATTGATCTTTCTTGTATAATATATGTATGCTCTTGTTGGTCTGTAATTGAATATGATGTTATTTTCTGAAAGATAAACTATGGAACTGGTGTTAATGTTTATTACCAATGCTGATGATAACCAGCTATCACTTCACAGGAGAGACATGCTGATACCAGATAATCTGAAAAACATAGCTAATGTATTAAATGATTCTACTGAAACCTAGCTAATGTATTAAATGATTCTACTGAAACATAGCTAATGTATTAAATGATTCTACTGAAACATAGCTAATGTATTAAATGATTCTACTGAAACATAGCTAATGTATTAAATGATTCTACTGAAACATAGCTAATGTATTAAATGATTCTACTGAAACATAGCTAATGTATTAAATGATTCTACTGAAACATAGCTAATGTATTAAAGAATTCTACTGAAACATAGCTAATGTATTAAAGAATTCTACTGAAACATAGCTAATGTATTAAAGAATTCTACTGAAACATAGCTAATGTATTAAAGAATTCTACTGAAACATAGCTAATGTATTAGAGAATTCTACTGAAACATAGCTAATGTATTAAATGATTCTACTGAAGCATAGCTAATTTATTAAAGAATTCTACTGAAACATAGCTAATTTATTAAATGATTCTACTGAAACATAGCTAATGTATTAAATGATTCTACTGAAACATAGCTAATGTATTAAAGAATTCTACTGAAACATAGCTAATGTATTAAAGAATTCTACTGAAACATAGCTAATGTATTAAAGAATTCTACTGAAACATAGCTAATGTATTAAAGAATTCTACTGAAACATAGCTAATGTATTAAAGAATTCTACTGAAACATAGCTAATGTATTAAATGATTCTACTGAAACCTAGCTAATGTATTAAATGATTCTACTGAAACCTAGCTAATGTATTAAAGGATTCTACTGAAACATAGCTAATATATTAAAGGATTCTACTGAAACATAGCTAATGTATTAAATGATTCCCAGAATTCAGCACGAATTACTTTTGGTATAAAATCTTTCATTTTGATGGAACCTTTGAGAGAAGCTAGAAATCTATTTTTCATTTTGCTGGAAGTTTTGAGAGAAACTAAAAATCTATTTTTCCTTTGCTGGAAGCTTTGAGAGAAACTAGAAATCTATTTTTAATTTTGCTGCAAGCTTTCGGAGAAACTAGAAATCTATTTTCGTTTTGAGAGCAACTAGAAATATATTTTTAGCCCACCATCATTCAAATCGCTCTGCGTCCGTGGTCCGTCCGTCCGTCAACAGGACAGGCAGCCATCTTGGATTTTGAGAGTAAAATCTTGTTACCGCTAT